AAAGTGTTGATAGATTATTTGGTGAGGTCATGCTAATTATTATTGCTAGATTCATCCCATCGTATGTATTAACAATTTTTCATATACGTGATGTAATTATAAATTTTTTATCGGAATTAAAACACATTTAAATGTTGATTTTTTCGTAATTTCACTATTTTTTAATGTATTAACTATTTGTATTTGAATGAAAATCTAACTTAAGTGATAATTGAATATGTTAAATAGAAGTATAAATAATATATAATTATTATATGTAAAAATAAAGAGCCCAAGAAAATAATAAAAGTTTAAACGACAGGTGTTGTAGAAGAAGAAGTATTTTGTTTTTTGGGTAAAAGAGGAGAAGAGAAGGGACCAAAAGATTTGATTTGATGTTAGAAAAGAGAGAGAAAAAGGTGGCTGGGAAGAGCAGAGGAGAGAAAAAAAAAAAATACAGTGACGTAATCATGAACTTAACGTCGTTTCTACCAATTAAAGGATAAGACTTTATTCATACAATTTTTACAAATTTGAAACTCAATGTCTTCATTTTTTTAAAATTGAGTATTAAACAAAAATTCACCTCTTAATATAATATGGAGACGAAGTAAGCATTTAAGCATATATAAAACTATGCAATAATAATAAATGATTCAATAACGTTTAATAATAAATGAAATAATAAACTTAATGAATAATAAATTTTACTAAAGTAGATTTTAATTTATAATTTTGATATTATGTTGAAAAGGATAGATTTTAAAATCTAAGATTAAAATTGATTTATAAATTAAAATTTGCAGTCCCTGTCTGATTCACGTGAGATTTATACTCTAGTACAGATTGATCACATTAATCAGCAATAGAGACACTACAAGGTGCGTTTGAAAATTCACAAGAGTAGACTTTAAAAAAACCGTAAAAGATTTTAACTATTAGCATAAAAAAGGTTACACTCATCATTCTTAGCGTTCTAATATCAGTTAAGATATGATTAAATTTTAACATAAAAAATATAATAAAAACCTGCAATCACATAAACAAATGTGAAAATATATAATAAACTAAAAAATAATGATATTTTAACAATTTTAACATCATCTACGTGTCATTCTGTGATTGGTTCAAAATTACTCCATAATCAATAATAATAATCATAAACATCAACATGGACTAATCACAGAATGACACGTATATGGTATTAAAATGTTATCAGAAAAATACTGTGAAAGGATCATTATTCTTTATATTCAAGCTCAAAAGTTACACTATCTATCCTTTACTTTGATAGTATTGTTAGTAAAATGAGCTCATAATTTTAAATTTCAGCATATACAAGATATAAACATAAGCTTTGGCCTATGAGAATTTATTGAGTAAACGAAAGGCTTATTCGATAAATTTTTATTACATGATAATTTTGATTATAAAATATTCTGGAAAACAAAATTTACTGAAATGAACTTAAAGTTTATAGGAATCATAAACTATTTTTCTGAATATAAAATACATTAATCTTGGTGTCACGTGGTGGTGTTATGTTAAAAAGAAAAAAATATATTTTAAATTGTGATATAGCAGTTGATTTATGAATAGTCAACCCTTCGCTTTAATATGTACAGATTTGTCAACTCCTTCACTTTAATTGGCAACTCATTTAAGTTTCTTCACATTCTATTCAAAACCTATGGGCTAGTAATTAATTTTACATTAACTATTTTTCGGATACTTTTAGAATAAAATTTAAATACAATCATATGTGTTATTACCAATATTGTTTTGTATTTTAAATGTAAAGACGAATATTTACTTAATTTTTTTTTATATTTGAATGTTATTCTATTTGTATAAAGTAAACTGTTCACCAATGGATCAGGATATATGGTAAAAATGTTCGGAACTAAAATTAGTTTAAGTTTGATTGAAAAAACTGTTGATATTATAATAAATGTGTAATAAAAAATTTAACAACCATATATTAAATATGTATTTATAATTTTTTTTATGAATTTTGTTTAAGGTTAACTTAATTACAATTTAATTCCTTTTAAATCCAATCATTCTATTTAGATTAATTAAATATTTAATTATTCTAATTGTGATTGATCGTTTATCCAAACAATCAATCGTGCTGTTGCAGTACCGTGAACAGATTTCGGGTTCAAATTTAAAAGTTTTCTTCAACCAATCAAAATATTGTGATTTAAAGAAATTCCTTATTATCATAAAGAATCTCAAATTCTAATAGAAAAATAACTAACTTTAGCTTGACAGGTCATTTTGACAATATAAAGGTGTGACAGGGTATATGGTGATAGTCAACCATTCCTCTTAAAGTAGTTTGGGAAATTTTATTCTTTTAAAAAATTAAAATGTTTTTTTATAAAACTAACTGTTTAAAAATGTCAAATGTTTAAGACGTATTTTGAAAATAAACAAAAACATTTTAAAACAGAATAGTTTCTGGAATCTGAAATTTTGTAATTTACAGTTGTTTTTAATAGGATTATAATATATAACAGTAGTTATTTGATGATTGAAATAGTATAATTTATGGATGTGTTGAAAGATATTAAAGAGAAAAATGGAGTAATGGTGTGACGTAGGAACAGATATGGGTGGGAATTTAAAAGGCAATAATGAGAAAATGCAAGTGCCCCAATTTTGCGGCTGTTGAAACAGCTTGAGAGGGAAGGGCTTCATCACATTAAAGAACTCCACAAATTCTTCTGACTTTATACATTTCAATTGGTGCTCTTTTCAATTAAAATAAATTAATCCCAAAATGCATTATCTTTTTTAAAAAGTAAAAATAAGTAATGATTATCTTCACCACGACACAAGCAAAAACATAACCAAACATCAACGAACGTAGAGTGGATATCCAGTCCAGAAGTTTGTGGATCGATGGGTCAATACTAGCTGAGCTAGCTACGAAGTTTGTCAACTATCACAACCGCTCTATAAATTGCATCCACACGTGCCTCCACCCAACACAGACCAAACTTTATTTTGACACAGATTCAACTAATCAGACAGAGTTAATTTAATTCGTAGTTTTTAAATTAAATTTCAAATATGTAATTTCATAAATATCCAAAAAATAATGTTACTCATAACTATAAATGAGCTCCTGCAACCTCTACAGTTACACGTTGACACCGCACCTAACTTTGCTCAGTCAAACACTATGCATGAACCGTGATACAAAACTAACGCCTTCCATGTAGAGGAGCTGTTTGACTGGTCATCCTTTCCTGTCTGATCCGATTATAAGTTTGTGAGTGAATTTAACAAGATTTATTTGTTAATGAATTTAAAATATTTGAATTTATTTTATTTATCACGAGTTAGTCAATTAAATGGATTAATTTATTTAATTATAATTTTTTAACCTAAAAAAATCAATTTTTTAATTAAAATCTAAATAAATTCTATGAAAAATAATATTAAACTTCAAATACAATCAAAAATCACAAAAATTTCAAATACATTTAAAGATAGGAGATCATTTAGGATTTTTGTGTTTTTAATATAATTTAATATTTAAAGTTTAGGTAGGATTGGTGAACCCATTCGATAAGGGAAATATTTGACAAGTTAATCCTTTTATAAACAAAGTGTGTTACGTTGGTAAACATCTTTGGTTTACACATATATGTTAAAACAACCAGGACAAGAGAAGAAGATAAAAAGAAATATGTGTTTCTACCTAGCTGCTCACCAAAGGCAATAACTAGAAGAAAAAAAGCAAAGAAAATAAAAGTAATTGGGGCCAATACTATCAACAAAAAGAAAGTGTTCATTAAAAAGTATTATTCTTTAAAAGTCTGCTTAATGAAGATCTGATACATAAGAAACTTATTCAGTTCCTAAGGAGAGACAAGATGTTCAATCGTCTTCATAGAACATCACTATTCCTTGAAAGTCCTTTTTAACACTCTTAAAAGGTGTTTTTAAGCTTTCCATATTTGCATTCACACTATGATAAGTCATACCCACTAAAAAATTCTTAAGCATCAAAGGCATAGAAAATGAGAAAATGAAAAACATAACACGAATATACAATCACATATACACGCCTAAGGTTTCTCTCCATTGGCTTTGATTTTTTTCACCAACCAATTTGACTCAAAACAGGGCACATGAAGCATTACTGGAACACCCAAAAGAAATGAAAAAATAGAAAAATATGGAAATAAATTGTTTGCTTATTAATAATCTTTCTAAACAAATTTATATTCTCTCGACATTTAGTTACATACACATTGTAACGGTAAAATGTTGCTATATATGTAGAATATAAGTTAGTTAGATATACACATTAGAGTTTTTATTTTTGTATAAATATTTTTAGATTTATAAACACTGCTTAATCATAAAATTACATAAATAAAAAGTACTAAAATGTTGTTAAAAGAATATGTATTAATGGTGAGTTTTTGTTTTAAAAGAATAAAAGTTAACGTGATGTTTAATGTAATTACAATAAGATTACAAAAAGTGATTGAATATAATTTTATAGTTTTATAATGTAAATTACAAAATGTAATATTATGTTTAAGGAAAAAAAAAGTTAAACAAGAAACCAAAATTTCACCAACACAAAAAAAAATAAATCGAAATCATCAAGTTCGCAAGTAGATGCGAAATAAATATACAAACCAAAGAAGATGTTGAGATGGCCACGAGGAGAAAGGCAAAAATAGTTTTTGTAGTGGCTCTTCAATTGAGTTTTGGTGCTTTTGCACACTAGTAATGAAATAAAAAGAGGCAAAGTGCACGTTTGTTTAAAGGAAGAAAATCCTTACAATTCTGAAAGTTTAAATACTACTTATTTTCGATCTGTAAATACAATTTCTTGGAAACAATATCCTAAACGCCAAATACCACTTACTCCCTAGTGTAATTTTTTCTAAATAGGATCATTTCCCTAATTTCTTTACGAAATTAAAGGGGTAATGGGACACAGAGGAACACCATGCATTTAAATAAGGTTTACCAGTGTAGTGAAGCCGTATTGTGTTTTTCCTTCCCCAACATATTTAATTAATTAATATATTATTTTAGTTTTCAAAGATCGTTATAAATGTGACACTCTCAGTGTCAAACTCGTTTTCTCTATGTTATGCCAACTATGATGTTCAACATGTTTGCGGCTCATCAGCCTCGGTTTATGGTCATTGTAATTCTGTCCATCGAGATCATCACCTCGAGATGCAGTTCCACCACGCAAGAGCTTCACACCGGCTTCTCGGCCACACCGGACTCTTCAACGGCGTCGTTTCAGGCAGTTCTCAATGACTCCAGTGGAAACTTTTCTCTGGGCTTCCTCCGCGTGAACCAAAACCAGCTGTCACTAGCCATCCTTCACGTCCCATCCTCGGAGCCTTTCTGGGTGGCCAACCCAACCCGCGCAGCTTCCTGGTCCGACAACACGCGCCTCTTCTTCAACGGTAGTCTCGTGCTGTCGGACTCCGAAACGCGCGTTTCGTGGTCAACCGCCACAAACGGAGACCGTGTGGTGCTCCTCAACACCTCCAACTTGCAGGTCCAAACCCAAGGTATTCCCCTCTGGGAGAGTTTTGACTTTCCAACAAATACCATCGTCCAGGGCCAGAATTTCACTTCCAAAATGTCTTTGTTATCCTCCAACGGATTATATTCGTTGCGGTTAGGCAGCGATTTCATGGGACTATACGAAGGAAACGGGGATTTATACTGGAAACGCACAGTACTTGAGACGAAAGCGGAGGTGCAGGAAGGTAAGGGGCCGATTTACGCCCGAGTCAACCCGGAGGGTTACCTCGGGATGTATCAGACAAACGACGAGAAACCCGCGGATGTTCAAAAGTTCAACAGCTTTCAACAGGCTGTCACAGCGGCGTCGTTTTTGTTCGTGCGGATGGAATCGGACGGGAATTTGAAAGGTTATTACTGGGACGGTTCCGAGTGGCTAATTAACTACCAGGCTATTTCTGAGACCTGCGAACTCCCCCGCTCCTGCGGTTCCTACGGTTTGTGCACGCCCGGCGTGTCTGGATGCTCCTGCTTAGATAACCAGACCCGGTTCGAAGCGGGTGGGTGTTTCAACGATGTTGGTGGAGAGTTGTGTGGGGAAGAAGGGATTGGTGGGAAGAGAAACGGTTACTGGGTGCTGAGAAAGACCGGCGTGGAGCCACCGCATAAGGAACTCCTTAGCCACGTGACGAAGTCGTCTTTGGCGGAATGCGAGGAGTTCTGCGAGAAGAACTGTAGCTGTTGGGGAGCGCTGTATAACAACGGCACCGGGTTTTGCTACATGTTGGATAGTCCAATCGGAACATTGTTGGGTAGCGGAGATGCGACAAAAGTGGGGTATTTCAAAGTTAAAAAAGGAGAACGAGAAAATAAACGGGTTTGGGTACGGGTCGGAATTGTGATTACGGTTTTGGTAATGGTTGGGATTATTATTGTTGGTACGGGGCTTTGTGTGAGACGATGGAAAAGGAGAAGAGGAGTGAAGGAAGAGGATTGGGCCTCGCCCGGCCCGTATAAAAATCTTGGATCTGCGAGTTTTAGATCCATCGAAATGAGCAATAGATAATAGAGAGTGACGGAAGGGGTGACGCATTGGTGTGGGTTGACATTGGTGGGGTCCATCTAATCTAATATTATTTTGTACATGGCACTGTCATGAGTGATGTGTGACTCTTTTGGCTCCCTCAATGCTTTTGACCTTTCCTTATTTATACGAAAGAATTGGTGACTGAGTTGGGTGAAAAGGGGAAGGGGCTGTTTGTTTTCTCATCCAACCACCACGAGGGGGAAGCAAGTGGCAATTTGGAATGCTGAGTGCAGCCAAACAAGTATGAGTTGAATATTTGGTGTAATGAGTGGAAATATTCTTCTCTAGTTTTGCTGTGGGATCTCTGTTTTTCTATACTCCTATTTCACTTCAAACTGCTGCCGCCCCCGTGCTAAAGTTCAAACCAATTACCAACGACATTTATTAATGATTAATTAGCTACGCTATTAGCTCAACCAGGAGATTTATTAATGATTCATTACAAACGTTATTAGCTCAACCACGATATTTATCAATGATTAATTAGAAATGTTATTCATTTAGATACAAAGTAATTAAAGATTTGTTCGTAACATTATCGATTCATTATAGCATTTTGTTAATAAGGATTTGAGTTCGGACACTCACTTTTATCGCAGGAGGGACAGATAATAAAAAACATATTTTATTTAATAATAAATTAAAAATATTTTCTAGTCATGCAAGATTACAATAGTAAAAAACGGGTTGATGATTTGTCTCCTTGCGTATCTATCCTGTATTTCTAAGCTTTGATCACATGCAAATAATTGAATTTTTTTATATTTGTTCATTTAAATAAATTTGGGAAGAGTGATTAAATGAATTTGAGAGGATTTGAAAATAAATTTTTTATTGTTTATTTGAGTGGATTTTTGAGGTAAGTAAAAGTGGGTTTGGAAGTAAATTCTTTTAATTTGTCAAATCAATCAAATCTTACACTAATTCTCACAAACTTTATTTCCAAATCGATTCTCAATTACCTTCAAATCCTCTGAAATCTATTCAATCACTCTTCCCCAAATTTATTCAAGTAAACAAAGCCTTAACATTTGTCAAAAAATTAGGTTATCAAAAAGTGAGTTTACCTCAAAATTAAACATATTGTGTGATGAGCTTCCAATCAGGTCTAACCATTAATTGCTAAAAAATAATTTTTATTATTTTCATTAATACTTTAATTTCTCTTATATCCATTAATAACTTTAATTATTCTGATATCCAAAATGATTTTATTGTTTTGATACTCATTAATGATTTTAATTATTTTAATTAATTATCGATTAATTACCGTTCCTGCCCGTTGGTTATGTTGTTGTTAGACAGCGGGCCGTCCTTTCACAACTAATAGGTGGTCATATAATACAATTAGGTTTTATAAATTTAAAATTAAATTTTGTATAACAAAGGTTTCTAAATTTAATAGAATTATATTATTCGAGTTATGTTTTTTTTATTTTAATTATGTTTCACGTTAGTTTTGATTTGATATTCATTCAATTTGTTTTTAGTGAAAAGAAAAACTTGAGGTGAATATTTTTGTCAATTAAATTAATAAATAATTATTTTTTAACTAAATTATAGAGTTTTAATTTAGGAATTTACAATTAATACAAAGTTTATGTGAAATTTTTTATATGGTTGATAATTTTGTAAAAATGTTCAATTTATTTAGTTCTTTTTAAATATAAACTTCAATAAGGAATTTATGTATTTTTTTTATAGTCATATTTTTGTGTTTTTATATAAAGATGGAATGATGTATGAAGATTAAGTGGTGATGAAGAACAAAGAAGATGAAGATAAATTAGTGGAATTACTTAATAAGTAAAAAAGATAAATTGTAAGAGTGTAAATTGCATAAAATAAATTATCAAGGATAAAAGAAAATAGGTAAAGAAAATCTACCAAAGTGATGACCTAAACTGCAAATTTCATCATTGGATTTATTATTTTTCTTGTTCGTGACATTATAAAATGTTTGAATTGTAATCACATTTGTATCTATTTCTTGTACATGAAAATTTTATTTATATTTATCCTCAATCTTTTTTACAATTAAGTCAAAATAAAATAAAAATTTATGTAATTTACAATAATGGTCATATATATATATATATATATATATATATATGAGATTTGCTGATTTTTTTATTTTAAAAATAACTACCTTTTATTTTATTTTTTATTTTAAAAAACAACTACCTTTTAAAAAAATATATAATAAATTCTCATACGTGGACCAATCAGATGATAAATAACCACCTTTTATTTTTTTATTTTAAATTAAATTTTAAAATTATTAAAATATTCTTGAATTTAAAGTTAGTTTTTTTTATAGAGATTTTTTTATAATCTAAAACTTAGTACACTTTTCTAAAATGTAACAAAACACCCCTTGCGTAAATTAGCAAACTCATATATATATATATATATATATATATATATATATATATGATAGTGTGAATCTCTAATTTTGTTAAAATTATTATTATCTGAAATTTTTTTATCTTGTTCTCTTTAAACTTATATATTTGTTTGAAGTGGTGCCTTATCCGCTCTATTATTAATTTATACTATTTGAAGTGGTGACTTAGCTGAATTATTTGAAAAGTAAATTATACTACCCACTTTTTAACTCTTAAAATTTTGAAGGTGCACAAATAAAAATTGGAGGTGCAGGAAGAAACTGCCAATGTATAATTGTAAAGCCGAAAGGAAGATCCATTGCCAATTCATAATTGTAAAGCCCACAGGAAGATCCGCGCCAAATCTTCATTTCTTGCTGTGCGCATTCCCCTATCCTCCCTCTAATATCAAAAGCCCGAAATATGAGATAATAATAACAACAACGATGATAACTAATGTTATTATTAATAGATAATAATAATATAAATAAAAAAATAATGATTTTACGATTTGTAGTTAAAAATTCGAACACAATCATTTTATCAAGTCTTGATAAACATAAATATAGCGTAATAATTAAAGATCGATGTATATATATACATATATGAATTTATAGAAAAACAATTAATTTTGGTGTAAATAGAGAATTTTTTGAGATTGATAGAATGTTGTGGGGACGTATTTTTGGTGTGTGGGTTTGAAGACGTAGCCGAATATGTAATCTGTTGCATCAATAAAACCCACACGTAATGTAAAGAATAAATGCTCCTCCAGTAAGAGGAAGCAACTGAAAGGAATATTCTTTATCACAACATGCTCATATACTTTAGGTCTATAGGTCCTATACTTTACATTATGCTTTATATATATCCATGCAAATGGCTAACACGTAACAAGCACAAATAATTAGAAATGTGTTTGCTTTTGGTATCATATTTTAACGGACCATATTCATTTCAAATATTTACTTCTTCGCTTCTATTAGGTCTTTCATAAAACTGTTTCCAACTAAAATGGAAACGTGGATTCATAATAATTGGTGTTGAGTATGAAAGTAGAAGAGAGTTAATAGATTTCTCTCCACCTATATAACTCTACATTCTATCAATTATAATTCTTATGCACAAAATCTTTATAATCAATTATTAACATTCTTTGATTGCATATGTTTTTAAAGAAAATAATAATAACGGTCAATTGATTTTTTTTAAAAAACTTACACCATTTTCATAATTTCATAACCAAATTATTCCATATTAGTAAAAAAGCCTATACTACCCGGTACATGAGATTTGTGAAATTAAGGAGCTAATAATTTAGTTGATACGAAAATCTTGTCATAAATTGGAAAAAGAAAGTTACTATGCTATTATATTTAATTAATAATATAAACATAATGATTACGAAAAATAAATATAGTAACCAATAAAATAAATTAAATAGCAATCGTTGTAGAAATAAATAATTATAGTCATATATTTCTAATCCTCCAGTCCAATGTACCAATGTACCAACAAAACAACTGTACCGTTTGATTCCCCATCCCTTGTCGACCAAAAAGATTGTAAAACGCCAACTAAAAAGTAAAATAAAACAAAGAGAAAAATTCAATAAAACAAGCAGAAAACAAAATTAGTTAGAAAATCATATGTATTATTTTAGGACTACACTGCTTAAAATAAAATTCTCTTCATTATTTCAACCATTACATACTTTCACTTGACCCTACTATCGAGGAGCTATGTTTGTCGGATTGCCCGGCTGCATATTCTTTATGAAATATATACTTTCATTGTTTTTAGTTGGAAATCTTACTAGTAATATCAAATTAGGAAATACTCAATTCGTTCTTAAAAACATTCACTCATAGATAGATTTCTACCTTATTTCGTGTAAATAAGATTTTTATTTTTTTATAATGAAATTAAGTTTTCTATTAATAGGATTCTTAATAAAAGCCTACAAATAACTCCAATAATTCGTGATTTAAAAACCAAAATATTTGTGTGAGAGCATTCTGAATTACATACACATTCCAATTATGTTGAACAAATTAAAATAATATTTAAGAAAATTAATTTTACCTAACTTTAAACAAAATAGACCCTAATATTTCTCACTCCATCATAGCCTTCTTTTATATAGCCTTTTTGTAGTTAGTTAGTGGTGACACTTTTAATTTTACGGCAAAGGAGGTTTCTCTTGATAAAAGTATATTCTCATTTCTGAACTCATCACTTTCCTCTGGTGCAGAAGAGCATATTTTTCAAACACAGAGAGAGAATCAAACACGCAATAATGTATTCCCTTTGAATAAGAAAATTATATTTAGCTCTAGATGAATGTTTCTCTTTCTATGTGTTTCTTGGGGGTTCCTTTTTTGCCACCCAGAGCAAGATATTCATAATCTCAATTTGGGTCATTTGTAACAATCTTGAGTTCACTGATTTATATTATTTATTTATCTATCACTGAATTGGATGTGTTTAGTGTGAGTTTTCTCTTTATAGGTTGTCAATGTGGTTGCAATCAGATGCAACCCGAGACATTAAATTTCTTTTTCATTTGGTCAATGGACATGAATTTTTATCCAATACACCCATCTGTCCCTTCCCTATTTAGCTGGAGAGTGAAAACTGAGAGTCCAATGCTCAATTTCACTTAATGAATAAAACGGCTTTTGTGTAGTTGATGGGAAAAGTTAGGGAGAAAAAAACTGATACACAAAGTTACTTAATTTACACCTTTAAACTTCCCTTAGCAGGTTGAAAAATTTGTGCTTTCCACGTAACTGAAAAAAATAAATTAATAAGCACTATGAAAGAAGGGACATTAGAAGTTCGATTTCGCTTTCCACCCTTTCAGTTGTCTATATTTTGGAAATCGGAAAGGATAAGCTTTTGTGTAACTTACAAGAATAGCTAACAGAAAAAAAAATGTTAGAGCAAAAGTAATGAATCTGTAGCCTGACTTCAATTCGTGGGTCCAACCGTCACCCTCATCCTTGCATTTTCCTCTCCAATTCTCCGTCAGCTTCGTTATCTTGTTACTGTGTCTGTCATATTCATCCCAACCCACATGTCAACACTTGTCAAGGTTCAAACAAGTGAAAAATACCATCTTTCAACCAATAACAACACCTTGCTTTTTGCACAAACTCACTCAGCACAGCCCTAACTAAAATTGCATACTATTCAATGCCTCATGACTTACATATTTTTTCACTAACAAATTCATAATTAACTCCACATACAAATTGACTATGTTTTTATCATATAGGTCAAACCGTAATAATCACAATTTAATTATATAGGGCTGGAAAGGCAAGAGAAACGTAACGCAAGCAATTTAAGATTAAACAGTCATGTTTGAGTTTTCAATTTTCTTCTAGCAGTAAATTTTAAAGGTTAGAATTATAATATTGAATGCAGAACCGAGTATCATGCATTTCCTTTTCTTGCCTTATATTTTGTCTTTACTCATGCTTCACTCCACAGGTATGACAGAAAACATAAAGGACATTCACACATGGAAAATCCCAAGAAGAAAAAGTGTCATCGTCTTTTGTCACCTTCCAAATCCCTCTCTCTCTCTCTTTCATATGGTGCTAGCTAATTCTTTTCTCCTTCATACAGAAGCACAAGCATAATCACAGAGTCACCTTCGTTTCCATTACAAAGTTGTCTTGATCCTTGTTATTTTTATGTGGGTTTATTTCTGAGAGAGAACCGTTTTATAATGAGAGGCATAGCATCTTGTTACAACGAACATGCTATTAGAGTGTCCGATTCATATTGTTCAAGGCCTTCAAATCAGACCTATCTCTGTCCAAAACTGAATCCTTCCACCAGAGATTCAGTCACCTGCATGTACAAAATCTCAACGCAAAAGCAACTCTTCATCACACTAACTTGGGCCAAGAAACTCCTAGGTCAAGGCTTCACCATAACCATCTCCAATTCCGATCATTTTCCCTCCAAATTCAACGCAAAGGAATTGAATAAAACCAAAGGAAACGAAACATTCCAAACCCACAATTTCCAAATCCAAGTCCTCTGGGATCTCTCCGACGCCAAATACGATGATGGGCCAGAACCGGTTAATGGGTTTTACGTCGTCGTTTTGGTTGACTCCGAATTGGGCCTACGCCTCGGTGACAAAGATCCCTTACTTGAAGAACAATCAGACAAAAAGGAAGCGGAATTCTCAATGGTTTCAAGGAGTGAAACGTTTTCCGAAACTGCGATTTACGCGACAAAGGCGAAATTTTGCGAGACGGGAATTTCTCATGACATATTGATAAAGTGCTGCGCGGAAGAGGGAGCGTCGAAGGGTCACGTGTTGTCCGTGTGGGTGGACAAGAAGACAATGTTCCAGGTGAAGAGGTTGCGCTGGAACTTTCGTGGGAACCAAACAATTTTTGTGGATGGTTTGGTCGTGGATATGATGTGGGATGTGCATGATTGGCTTTTCAATCCCAATTCTGCTTCGGCAATGTTCATGTTCAGGACAAGGAGTGGCCTCGACAGTAGATTATGGTTGGAGGAGAAGGCTTCGCACACGCGCAACCAGCAGGACAAAAATGGGTTCTCCTTGTTGATACGTGCATGTAAGAACCTTGATTGATTCAATCTTTTTTAGATTTTTTTAATTCAACTGGATTTTCTCAGATTAAAAGGACTGACACATCTTTAGTTTTTTCTTCTTCTTAATATCAACTGTTCATGATCTTTGGTCAGTGGCCATGTGTCACTGTTCCCGTTTGAACAGGACTAGATGAATTTTCATAGATTATATTAAATACTCTTACTGTTAGAAGTGTGATTTTATAACTACAAATTGTTCGCAAATATATGTGTGGAGTTTGGGTGTGAGATCATACATGACAAGCAACACTTCAATTTCGTTGAATTTTCTAACTTGGTTTGAATATTTCACGTTATTATATACGTTTCAAGTGTCTTTAAGTTAAAAAATTCACTGTCGTCATGTATGTTTGGTGTATTTGTGCGTTACACTTTTACATTATCACAGATGTTTACGTGATTGTACGTTATAAATTTTACGTTATCATATACTTTAATGTGCTTGAATGTTATAAATTTCATGTCATCCTCATACGTTTAATGTGCTTTTATATTTTTTTTATAATTTTACGTTACTAAAAATGTTTAAGGTGTTTGTACTTAAAATATTTCATATCACCAAATAATATCGTTGTGTTTTTAAAAGAACCATGTCACCAAATACGTTTTTTGTGTTGTGCTTAAAATTCCACTGGCGTATTTTTAAGTTTAAAAAATCACATTATTAAAAAAAACTGTTTAAATGTTGAAAACTGAAACACTTAGATCTTGTTCACTTGAATGGATTTAGGGGAGAATAATTGAAAGGATTTGAAGATAATTTTTTTCGTTGTTTATTTGAATTAATTTGGAGGTAAATGAGAATGAATTTAGAAGTAAAGTTTCTGAGAATTAGTGTAAGATTTGATTGACGTGACAGATTAAAAAAATTTACTTCCAAATCCACTTTCATTTATCTCCAAATTCACTCAAATAAACAACAAAAAAATTTATCTTCAAATCTTCTCAAATTTTCTCAATTACTCTTTTCAAATTCATTCAAGCGAACAACACCTTAGAAAAAAAAATCTTTATTGTGTATTGATATTGAAATTTCCAGGTCATCAATACGTATATATCGTGTTAGTACTTGCGTTACGTTTCTTATTTGAGTTCTGTATAGTCGGTTGGACATAAATTCTTATGCATGTTGTGCGAGAAGTTATAATTTAAAAGGCTCTCAAACAAATTTTGAATTGACAGGATTCCCTTTTCTAAAAGTTGAACCAGACATTATATTTTATTCTTAATGCCAAAAAAAAAAATCTTCTTTATATGCATTGAAATTTTAAAAACAAGGGACCAATTTCTATCAGATAATGTGGTAGTTATAAGTATGTAATTGCATTAAATTTTTGGATGAAGTGTTTTATCAATCATTATATTGTTTGATTTGAAAATAATTTTTTCTAATAAAGAATATATGCTGTCCATATAAAAAATATACAAATTATTATTCTAAGCAAATTGAAGTTGATCTTCTTTTCAATTTGAGTTTTTGAATTTTCCAAGTATAACTTCTGATTCTTTTATCATTTTCTTAATTATTTTAAATATTTTAGCCTTTCGTATTTGAAAAATATAAGCACCGATATATTGAATTGATTTTTAAAACCGTTTGTAGTTCTTTGGAAACTAAAATATATATTTTTAGAATTTTGATAGATTCAATTTTTAAAAAAATCAGAGACCAAAAATAAACTTATTATAAAATTTCCGAGACTAGAAAATATTCCAACCTTATGCATAGCAGGAATTTCTTCTAAGGCATTTAAACATTATTTTATTTGAATAAATAATTTAACCTTTGTTTAGTTTCAGAAACTCAAAGAATTAAACTAGGGCCTGAGAACCTGATGTGGCCATTTCTTCTTGCACCTCTATAACTTTAACCTGCATCTCCATAATTTTTTGTATTTCGGCATGTATAATCATGTATAATCTATAATACAATTTTTTGTATTCTAAATTTTAAATTTAAGAAGGTAAAATAAAAAATAGATTTCGAATTAATTATAAAGTTTCTATTTTAAATTATGCAATTTAAAATAAAAAAACCTGTGGGATACAAATTAAAATTATAGAGGTGCATGAAGAAATTCTCACCTGGTGTTATAATGCTCCACACGTTGGGCTTTTAAAATGGTAAAAATCCACTAAAAGTGGATGAAAACCCATTTTCTCTTGATTAAGGCAGTTGCTCCCTCCACCACCACCAAATCTTTTCTACACCTCTCCAAATCTTCCCAATTATTTTTTAAATTTAAAAGTACCCTTTTTTTTACTTTAACTATATTTATTTACTTTTTTTACCCAAGATCAAACACCATGCCCTGCAAAACAAGTAACAAAAAATTAATGTTATGATGAGATCCTCACATTCAGAGCATACATTGTCATGATTGTTGACTGCTCACTGGTGAACACAATAAAAGCAAAAGGCTGCCAAGACAAGAAAAACACATCAGTGAAACGATTCACATAAATTCATAAATAAAGATACCCAAGAAATTAAAATTGCAATAAACTTGAGACGAATTACTGAGACTCCAGAGATGTGAAGACTCGTAGCAGGGAAATTCGCGAAAAAGATTGTAGATTCTGCAGGGCTTTACATCTTCTGGAAGGCCAACAATGAAGAGGGTGCAAACCTCTTTTGTGGAGGGTTGAGGAGCGCCGTAAGAACTGAACACCGCTTGTTGTTGATGCTGAGCCACATATGGCGGATGCCCGTGGTGCACCGGCGGGACAACCGCGCTAGATGGTGGTGGTATCACCGCCAACAACGGAGGAGGTTGCAGAGGCGGCAGTTGATAGTACTGGTGGTAACTGAGAAGGCTCGCCTGTTGGGGCTATGAGTTCACACGTGACAAGCCCTGGAATTTTGGTTTATATTTTTCTCAATTGTTTCATTCGGTTTGGAGGCTTAAACGGATGTCAACATTCGTTTGTCCTTCAATCGGATGTCAACATCCGTTTGTCCTTCAATCGGAAGTTAACATCCGTTTGTCCTTCAACGTATATTCATATCCGTTTAAATATTACTCAAAGATAAAAAAGGAATAGAGAGGTGCAGGAAGCATTGTGTGGTGGTGGAGGGAGTAACTCTCCTTGATTAAACACATTCATTCGTTTATTTAAGTTTAATCATTTTCTAAAGTAAAATAGTTACTTCACCGCTTTATTTTTAAATAATTGTTTATTTAAATGTATAATAAAAATACAAATTTGATGCACTAACTTGAGTCAGTTTTTTGGTAGAGTACAAATAGTTACTCACATGTCCTTTCTCTTTTAATTGCAAGAAAAGTACAAATTATTTATAAATAAATAAAACTTTAAATTATATAATTTAAAAATATATTATAAAATATATATTTCAACATCCTAAAAGTACACTAATAAAATGTGAGGTGAGGATGAAATCGGCGTAAAAGAAATCTCCCGTATTAATTGGAGGAAGAGAGAAAAAGGTTCCACCTGCTTCGTTTTAACTTGAGAAAAGTCCAAACCCAAACCTAACACCTACGTCTTGCAATTTAATATTCACCCATTCAATAAATACGAATTACAATTTCTATAATTTTTAAAGTAAAATAAGATATCTAATGAAAACTCTTGTAAGGTATAGATTTTTACTATATAGCACAACTTTATTCGTTTAATCTCTAAAACAAGAAATCCATTCTCGCTGTGCACATTCCATATAAATTGAAATAACAATATTATTTAATGAAATTCTTTCTCGGTATCTTTCAACCACTTCTAATCTATTTTGTCGTCTCTATTTTTAAATTAAATTTTAATGTTTTTTAGAAATTAGTATCAATGGATGAAAATAATCTTACACATAGTAACATCAATTATTGTGACACCCCAAAATATAACAACCACATCATATAATTTAGGAGTCAACATTCCCAATAAAGAGAACAGTTAGAATATGACTTGCAATTTGAACACGAAATTACAGTCATCTAAAACATAATACATAGTTAAACTTAAACAATTTAGAGTATTTAATATCCAAGGTCTAAATATCTAAATCCTGAGTAGACTGTGCAGCAGCATCATTCTCCTCTAGCTCTTGCTCCAAGGGTATCTCCTCACCAACATCTGCTCCCATCCAAGAGGATGATCATCGCAAAGAAAACATACACAAGCAACACCCAACACAGAAGCAAGGGTGAGCTAGATAAACAAGCATAATCATACTGTTCAATCACTTAATAATCATCATGCTTAGTACATATAAAACAGTTAATACATAACACTTTAAACCATGACTCCAACACTCACGCGACTCAATCCGGATTAGTATAATGTCGAACTATTGGTCGTCTTGCACTTGCGTAGTTCAGTTGGCACTCCCCAACACTATGCAAGGTAAATCCCAACCCAATCTGTCTATGTCTAAACTCTAAGACTATAGACGAGGACCTCCCTCTACTCTCACCACTTACACTGCTCTCCTCTATCTGAGTATGAACAATGCTTCGAGTGTAGGGATAGACATACCAGTTCAAAGCTCCATACAGTTATACAGAACATCAACAACACCCCCACATATCACTTTCATCCATCTCTCCCCGAGATGTCCAACTCATACTCAAATTCTACATTTACATTCACAAGCATATTATCACAATAATTTAAACATATCTCATGCATTCCATACTGTCACATAAATCAAATTACAGTATACATTCCAAAACATGTTACACATTTAACCACCCAAGAGCAGAACCTGGAACCGAACACTACTTGCACGAACTCTGTGAGATCAACCGCTAGGACGAACGCTCAAACCGAACACCATTAGATTGAACACAATTGGCCGAACGAAAACCGAACGCCATATTAAACTGAACAAAATTGGCCGAACGCTAAAACCGAACATCATAATGATCGCGTACTGTTGGACGAACGCTCAAATATCCAGCCTCATCATGACCGAACGCTACCTATGAATCTGGGGACAACCTCATCGAGAACGAACGCTAATCGTCACTAATGTACCAATACAAAACGCTACTATCACTAGGACGAACACTAACACTTGCTACCTGAGAGTATAAGACCGAACGCTATTATCACTTAACACATGATCAAGACCGAACGCTAACATCACTAGGACGAACGCTAACTGATCACTAACACTAGCTCAAGGACGAACGCTAAATTGGTCTAGCAATTGGATGAACGCGCGTTCTGCAGAATTCTGCAGAATTTTGCAGAATTTTGCAGAATTATGCAGAAACACCAGATTTCCAGAAACCCCATTTTTTTCATCCCCTTCTTCCCAGACTTGCATCGACACAATTTATTTCAACCTGAAACTAAGAAATAAATCTAACTCCCCTCACTTCACCATAACCAACCTGAAACAATACGTGTATCCACTCACTATCCATTCTAACTATTTCCCAGAGTTCTTATTTGGTAAACTACTGTCTAATTTTCATCTTACTTTCCCCCAAATTGGTCACCGGAGAGGGTTCAGATGTCTGAACGCATCAGACTCACCTTCGGCGCTATCACATATGACTAGTCACAACGTACTGGACCAGGCTAGGGCTGCTCTATGATCAGGGATTGCCAACTCAGGTTTTTTAAGCCCCCTCTATCCTACCAACAAAGAAAGGCTTTTAACAAGTTATGATTTGTCTAATTTATTAGAATTGTCCTACATTGTTCTAGACATCAAACCCAATAATAATATTTACCAATATATATATTATCACCCATCCCCTCACTATCATCCTACCTATAATAGTACCTCTACACCTACTTACTAATCTACATCACATAACCCACATTACATACTCCAAACCCCTTCAACAAACAGTACAACCAACCAATTATCCAAGTCAAATCATGTTCAGCACATTATGGTTACACAACTTTCACACATCCAGCAGATACAAATCAATATGCTCACCACAAAATATAACTCACTCAACAGTACATAACAGTTTAAATCAACACACCAATTCAGGACTTAACATGCATATATCTCATAAATTAATTTCAAACAAAATAACTAGCTCCCCTTACCTTGAAGATGAGCAGTATATCCTACTGGAGTTCCCTAACAGTACCCTCCACACAGAGCGGAACTTGACAGAACCTACAAATCACCATATTGGTGATAAAACATAGCTCTTAGAGCTCAAATAGACAGAGAATGGAAGGAAAACGTACAAGGTACGTGAACCCAACAAAGTCGCATGCCCTAGGTTCTAGAACAGTGAAAGAGAAGGGGAAAAGGAAACTTACCAGTCGGAACAAGAAATTGTTCGATAGAAACGAAACCCCCTACTCCGCAAACACTTAGGCAGCACCAGAATCAACTTTCTATGGTTCCAGGTTCAGAGTATCTAGAGAGAAGGCAGAGAAAACCTTTAGGGCAAGAGTTTCTTTTTAGAGTGAGAAAGGAAAAATAGAAATGGGGCTTTGACTTTTGGGGAAAGACCCCTGCTAAGGTCAGATTCCCTTAGTCTGGACCTGGTTGCCTCCATCTAGGGCCAATGGCCTTATAATTTTTTTTCAGGCCCTCACAATTATCCTTCATAAATTTAGAATATAAACTATATATTTAAAAAATTACATACTGCAAATTACAATTACGATATTACTTAAAACTGTTTATTTATTATTAACTATTAATATCTTAGCGAATAAGCATATAACCTTTTTCAATGTTTTATTTTATTCTTGATTATCATAAAAAAATATTCTTGAAAGTAAGTTACGAATCTTGGGACGATAAATCAGCGTTCATCCTATTATTTTAAATTGGAATCTGTTAAAGCTGAATAAAGAATAAAAATTGTCTTGTTACAAGCATAATAATTACAATTTTTTATTTAAAGTAACATAAAGCAAAGCACAGTTATTTGATGATTTAACATCATTATATTTTTAAAATAAATTACACTTACCTATCATCATGAGGTCCTGTTAAACAACATTATTTTTTTTTCTAATTTTAAAATACACATATATCTACCTTACGATTCCAATGACGCTCGTTATTCTTCTACTTAATAAATACACATTAACATTATTATTCTTTACATTTTCAATCAATAACACTTTTTTTCTTTCCAAAATAACACATTTACTAAAACTTAATTATAAAAAATTGAAAAATAGAATATTAAGGTTTCTACATAATAAGAATTGTGATCTTCATCATGTAAATTGCCTAGTATCATAACTAGAATAAATTTATGATTGACTATATTGGTGCCAATGGTAAAAATTAAAAAAAAAAATCACTCCAATTTTAAAACATGCAGTTAATTCATCTTCTATTGTTACTAAATAATATTTACACTTTATGCTTTTGTTTATATTTATATTTATATTATTATAATATAATAATTGTACCAACTCAATTTTGTAGTATTAACTCAACTTAAACATATAAAAAATACATATAAAATTTTCACATATATATTTAATAGATTGAGTCTATATCTAGTCTATATTATTTATATACACATGGGTAGTTTCTGCATGTTATAAGAAAAATAATAATAATATTTATAACATTCTATTTAATAGATAATTTACTCAACAAAAGATCATAGGTTTAATAGAACAAAATAGATAAATAAGAAAACATGTAATTTATCGTTATCAGGGTAGGTTATCACCTAAAACATCTTCCACTACTAAATGGTGATTATTGTTAAAGATTTAAGCAAAACACATAGAAAACAGAAAACAAATCAATCAGGTTAAGTTAGTGGATCAAAAGGAATTAACATATTATAACTTAATTTATCAAATTGTAAAACAACAATCACGACATGCCATTACACATATAATATACCACTATTGACTTTTATACTCAATCATTCGGATACGATGCTGATATAGACTTCATTGAAGGTGTGCACTTATGGTAGTATTTATACTCTAGAAAGTTATAAACAAGGATAATTCAACCTACTACCCATGAGGTTAATCTTTCACTCTTTAAAAGTTAGGATAAAGACCTCCTGTCATTCTCCCTGTCACCCCATTCAACTCTGCATGAGTTAAATGATTAGTAGAATATCATGATATCTACTTACTAAAGTCTCTTTATCAAACATTCACCACAACTTACTTGAGTATATAATCTCTCATTGAAATTCTTATCACAACACAAATATTTCATCCTCATAACATATCCATACCATTTCAAAAGTATTAATAACTATCGAAACATGTACACCATAACTAATTAACACAAAGCATTCATGAGAAACACCTTTAAAATGAAAGAAACCACTAGGTGTCGTTAGCATCTAGTGCCTGGACTTGATGCTCAACGTCCCTTTGCAATAAAAGACTAGCGCTTAGTTTCAATTTCCTTCTCTCAACGCTCACAACGTCCCAGCATTCTATAACTCAGTAGCTCTCCGGTTCAATAGCGCTTAGTGCCCCAAAGTGGGCCACAACACTATACCAGATGACACCAACCTCTAAACTTGATTTAAATGCCATTTAAACTCATTTAAAAGACCAATTTATTATCCTTAGCATTGATTTGATTAATGGATCTGTTTATAACTTACATTTGGACACAATTCACTCAATTGAACATGAATTCAATGCATTTAGACCAAGCGAAGTACCCAAAGACTCACATACTCATTCTTATTATATAAAATCCATATTTTTGCAAAGTAAGAAGTCAACTAAGTCCCAAAAAACAATTCCAAAGCTTCATGATTTCCCGAAAACCATAACTCTAAAATTTAACGTGACAAAACCTTCATTTTGTGGCCAAAAACTCGCATTTATTCTATCTCACTAGAAATCAAAGTTCTATAACAATTTATCAACTCATAATCGGTCAATCTACCTTCTTAAATTCATAAAAAACAATTATGACAACAACAGAACAACCACACATCACCATTCATCAGATTTTCAATTCACCACACCACTTTCACAAGCAACTCAACATACCAAAATTTTCATTTCAATCAAATTTCACAAATAAATCACCACATCATCATACAAACATCAATTACAACTTGTCTACCAATCAAAAATCATATAAACTAGATTCCCTTACTTGATTGAAACTCCAACGATTCTAAAAACGCTAAAGTTTCTCTTATTGCTTTAAGATCTCTATTTGCTCCTATAATTCACAAACAATTTGATTAGAATATACCCTCAGTACCACTGACCAACAAATAACCTTAGAGAAAACCCATACATCCAAGAATGAAGGAAACCCCTTACATGCAAAGACACTAAAATCAAAGGGAAAAAAAAAAGTAGAAATCGACTTACTTTTTAGCTGAAATCAATCGAATAGAAAGAAGATCTTACTTCAAGGATTTCTCAGGCGATATGTGATTTTTAGGTAAATGAGTATAAAGTCAAAATATTAAGAGAAGACACAAGAATTTTTAAGATATGATTAAAAGTAAAATATAAATATTAAATGTGTATACCTTTATATATTATTATAAATATTTTCCTTTTTTAAGCTTAAAGTATAATTAAAAATAATATAATAATATAAAATGTGTATATTAAAAGAGATAATTCCTTTATATATATATATATATATATATATATGGGGTTTGCTAACGCGCGTACACCTGTTTTTCAGTTGGTACATTTTAGTAATGTGTATCGGGTTTTGATAGACAAAAATACCCTTATATATCATGGATTCTAAGTTTTAAGGTTGTGGGTATTTTAATAATTTTCATTCTCAAAATTAAAAAAAAAAAAAGAAACCCACAAATCCTTACTCACCTTTCTCATTCCTCTCAACCCTTTATCTATCATCTCCTCTCACTCCAACCTTTTCTCTGTCATCCCGTAGTCCCAATTGAAAAAATCAGAAACACTTGTTCGTAAACAATTTGTCTTTGTAAGGAGTTGAGTCATTGACATATTCACCTTCAGGTTCATTCAAGATCTCTTCAATTTCACCATCTTCACTAACATTTCTAATTTCATCATCTGCATATGTTGAATCATCATCTCTAAAAAAAATCCTCCAGGCCAATTACCAATTCCTTCGGATGTCATTATGCTTGTGAAAATTAGATAAAATTATATACGACAAAAATTATAAAATGAAACTCATTAAAATCATTGTAAAATGTCTAATAACTGAGTGTTTCTGATTTTTTTTAGGCCACTTAAATCGATTTCTTTGCTGTCATTATGCTTGTGAAAATTAGATAAAATTAGATAAATAAATTATTAAATAAAAACTCATTATAAAATCATTTTTTGTAAGAAATTATTTACGCTTTTTTTTCTTCTATTTTTTCATTTGGGCGCTACCATAGATGAACAGAAAAATGTTGAATGAGAGAAATGAAAGCGAAAAGGTTGAGAAGAACAGGGGAGATGAGCAAGGTTGTTTTATTTTTTTTAGTTTTGAGAATGAAAATTATTAAATAACCCTTAGACCTTTAAACTTATGAATCCATGATATATAAAATGTACCAACTAAAAAACTGATCAACATGACATATGCATATATATATATATATATATATCATATATGAAAATATAATAATAATATAATAATATATATAAGACAAAGATTTTGATTTATCTTAAGTATTTTTTATTGCTTTAAGGTTTACGATATCTTTTTGTCAGGAAACTATGTTCATAATTTTTAATTATAAATATTATAAATAATATATGATATTTTTATATAATATTTATTAAAATTATATATCGCAACTATATACTCGCTTCGAATTAATTGTTAAATGATGATAATTGTTTTTGAGTTATTTTTCAAGAAATTACACGTCATTTTTTGAACTGTTTTAAATATTAATAAATATGAACATAACTTTGAGTAATTACACATTTTTTTAAAAACATTCAAATACTCTTTTATTATCTCTAAATATCTTCATAGCTATTAACAAAATTTATGTCTTTTTACCAATTAAAATATGAATTTGAGATTGATTAGGTATCTCTAAGCGGTGTCACATAGACTTCATATTTATTCATTCAAAATAGTTTTTTAAAAAATTCAAAAGTTAAATTTTTTAACAAAAGTGTTTTATAAGTAAACGATTTTGTTTATTTCGATAATATTTATCAATTTATCTTGTATTGACAAAGAGATGATAAATTTAAATTAGTGACAAAAATAGATCAATCACGCCCCCATTTTGTCTGTTTGTCAAAAATGAAATAGGAAAATTTGACCCACACACAAAAATACTCACAAATCTTGACTCGCTTGCCAATGAACGAGTTAGAGAGATTGATGGACCAACTTTCTAATTTATTTTAAAAATTATATATATATATATATATATATATATATATATATATATATATATATATTAATTAAAAACAAAATTTTAATCATATAAATATTTTTTAAATATATTTATTATATATGCATTTTTTTTCAGTTTTTAACTTACTAATTAATGATGCTAATAGGATAAAATAAAATAATCATTACATTTATATTTTAAATTACTTTATTATAGTTAATAGCTGTAACTTAATTTATAATCATATCAGTTATTTAAATTAAAATATCATAAATAATATTTACATATTTGTAATATAATATAAAGGAATTAATATTTTAAATTATTTTTTATTTCAATTTTTAATTTCAAAAGGTTCATAAACTCATCCAACTCATCTAATCCACTAAACTGACACATTAAAGGTAAGTGAGGACAAATTAATCCGTCTTTTTTAAACTAGAAATTAAAATAAAAAATAATTTAAAATATTAGTTTACATATTAAATTAAAAGATACAAATATGTGAGTTGAAAACTTCAACTCTATCCAACATTTGGATCTACTTTATAGTATTCTGATTTGAATAATCTTCTAATATCATTAACAATAATTTAATTATATTTTTCTCTCAATCTTATGACGTATTTTTTCAAAAATAAAATCATAGAAAATTGTTGAGTTTCAAAACGGAAAATATGTCATATATAATTATTTATTCCAATATATTAATTAAACAAAACATCTTAATTATTTTTTATATTATGTTTTGTAAAAATAAATCATTGAATAATACTTATGCAGTCGTGCTAATTACTTAAGAATAAAAAGCTTTACCATTCTTGAATAATGATAACTTTATACAACTCAAACATACTTGAGTGAAAGATTTTGCAGTCTTTATCAAAGAAAAAACTAATTACAATTAATGATGAAAAGAGTAAAAGAAATAAGAAAACGTGGGGCAGGAATATTTATTTTTGGAAAGAAAACATTCATGGAAGTTATATATATTGGAACACATAAACATTTAAACTAATTATTTGAACACGTCAAATGAAAAATGATATAGAATTTTACCATATTACCATTACCTTCTTTCCACGCCAACCCATCAAGCAGTAATAAATAGTCACCAAAACCACACTAACTTCTCACAGTTTTTAAACCCTTCTCTTCTTTCTTTCACTTCCTCAAACCCAAAATATTCTTTTCAAGTTTTCCATCAATCTTAAAACACCATGTCTTCCTTCAAGAACAAATACCAAGGTTTGTCTTACATGCCTTTGAGGTTTCTCACACCAGGCTTTATTTTTTCATGTTGTGTGTGTCGTTTGTGTTGAACGATGGTGCTTATCTACTAGGCGTCTGATTATGTCTTCTGGGTATGACGATAAACATGTAAAACTTTCATCTTTTCTATAGATCCAAATTCCGATCTGTGTTTGAATATTTTTCCGATTGAAATTGAGAGCAACCTTCGAATTTTAGTTCCCCGAAAGAACTTAAGAATTTGATTTTATTTTGGGTGCATTTTTGTCCCGGAATTGTCGTGTGATTATTATTTTTTACTGTTCCTTGTATTGAAAGGTTTTGGTTGGGATATTGTTTGTAATATGAAGAAACAAGATCAGCCATAGAAGATATTTTTTTTAGTAATGTTTTGATCTTGTTTGTGCTTGATGATCCCTTTCATGAATTCAGAATTTTGGTGTTGAATGATAATGATGTACAAATCTCATAAATATTATACACGAACACTGTTTCAAGGGATGGATTCATAGCACATATTAGGTGTGTTGTGAAGATGAACTTGAACAAGTGTGAGTCAATAGATTTAAGTAGATTTGAAATTAAAATTTTTAGATTTTAGAAAAAATAAAATTTATGAAAATTTGTGAGTAATTTAATTAATTTGATAATTTTTTTAATAGATATAAAATTAAGATTACTATTTTCGTCGTTATAATAAAATTAATATATTATTATTACTATTAATAAAAAAGTAAAAGCAAAATATATTATTAATAAAATAAAAAGAATAGAAAACAAAGCATTCTTTTTACTAATCGGTTTCTTATCTCTCTGGAATCAGAGTCTCTCAATAGAATAAGTTTCCTACCCTTCTCGAATCGATTCCAATTTCTTTTCCTCTTTTTCTTTATCTTCACCAACAAATAATAACAATATTGTAAAATACTAATTGTCACCACAAATCCACTCAAAAGTGACCAGATGGTATGACGAGATTCTTTCGCCATTATCGTCATTTCTTCTTGCTAATAGTAAATTCGCGTATATAAAGGGATGAAAAGTAAAAAAAGGTTTACATATATAAAATAATAGTATTGGTAAATTAAAAAATGTCATTTCATTATTTAATATTAAAAGTTACGAACTTAAATATTTTTATTAAATATTGAGGGAGGGCCCCTGGAGACACGTAGATCCTCTAGATCCTTCATTGAATTCTATAATATCGGATTAATAAAACTGATTTCGGTTGATCTTTCTATTTTTATTCAACAGTTTACAATTTTTAAACAAGTTATTTTATCTTTTTTGAGGGAGTTAAATAAGTTTTGAGAGATATTTATTCTTACCTGGCTTCTCCTCCTTGCTTATTCATGTGAAGTTGAAGAGAGATTATTGTATTGGGGTAATATGGCTTGATTATAAAAATGTACATGTTGTAATGAATTTACATGAAATGCAGATGAACTGATTGCCAATGCTGCTTACATTGGCACTCCCGGGAAGGGTATCCTTGCCGCTGATGAGTCAACTGGTACAATTGGCAAACGTTTGGCCAGCATCAGTGTAGAGAATGTTGAAACAAACAGACGTGCTCTTAGGGAACTCCTGTTCACGACACCCGGTGCTTTTCATTGTCTCAGTGGTGTCATACTGTTTGAGGAAACTCTATACCAAAACACAGCTTCAGGTATTCAAATCATGCGTTACTCTACTTTACAAGCAAACATGCTGTTACATCGTAAGTTTCTGAACTTTTATCACGTAATTGATTGCAGGAAAACCCTTTGTAGAGTTGTTGAAGGAAGGTGGTGTTCTTCCTGGTATTAAGGTTGACAAGGGCACCGTGGAGCTTGTCGGAACTAATGGTGAAACCACCACTCAAGGTTTGGACGGGCTCGGTCAGCGTTGCCAGAAGTACTACGAAGCCGGTGCCCGTTTTGCCAAATGGCGTGCCGTGCTGAAGATCGGTCCAAACGAACCATCCGAGTTGGCTATCCATGAAAATGCCTATGGTCTTGCTCGATACGCAGCCATATGCCAGGAGAATGGCCTGGTGCCTATTGTGGAGCCAGAGATTCTGGTGGATGGACGCCATGACATCAACAAATGTGCGGCAGTGACTGAGCGTGTACTTGCTGCATGCTACAAGGCACTGAACGACCACCATGTTCTGCTTGAAGGAACTTTGTTGAAGCCCAACATGGTGACTCCTGGTTCGGAGTCTCCAAAGGTGACCCCAGAGGTGATAGCTCAATACACTGTTGCGGCGTTGCAGAGGACCGTTCCTGCTGCAGTTCCGGCTATTGTTTTCTTGTCTGGTGGGCAGAGTGAGGAGGAGGCGACCCTGAACCTGAATGCCATGAACAAGTTGCAGGGAAAGAAGCCATGGTCTCTTTCTTTCTCTTTTGGAAGGGCACTGCAACAGAGCACTCTTAAGGCATGGGGTGGGAAAGATGAAAACATTAAGAAGGCTCAGGATGCCTTCATTGCTAGGTGCAAGGCAAACTCACAAGCAACCTTGGCAACTTACAAAGGTGACGCTACCCTTTCCGAGGGTGCCTCGGAGTCTCTCCATGTCAAGAACTACAAATACTGAAAAAAGGTGTTCGCTTCCTGTCGTTGCTTCTCACGTTGCTTTCCCTTTGGATTTCTGTCATTCAGTTTTCTATTGTCAAGTAGTTTCGTTATATGTTTCGATCAGAGTAGGTTCTGAAAAATAATTTTGCTTCCTGGTATTTGCATATAAAACTCTGTCCGTGATAGTTACAGTTTAGTTCTTTTTCATGAATCATCAGAAAATTTTCATCATTAAAATTACGTTATTATAACTGGGAACGAAAGATAATTATAAAATTATTAATACAATTAAAAATTAATTCAATCACAATTAAAAAACAAACTTGTATCATATTTTAATTTAATTTAAAAATATAACTTGTGACTCTAAATTCGATCACTATTAATAGAAGTAAATATTATTGCAATATATAAATTTCAATTAAAAATGGTAATTTGTATTATAAGCTGATTACTTACTACTAATTAAACGATACAAAATTTAACTCAGTAAGAATAGTATTCGAAATAAATAATAAAAATACATTTTTTTTTATGTATTTTGACTGATGTACGCAATGAAAACTAGTTTCCATTAGGTTAAATGGTTATTGAAATAGTGAAACTAGGTTCCTTGATACTGGCATTGCTATTTAAACCCATCCTAGAAAAGAGAACTATCCAAAGGTGGGTCTCAATAGTCCATTGGTGGTGCCAATCGCAAAGTTAAATATGGACCCATGAGCCCCATACAAACGCAATACTTTGTAACTCTGCGACGGTCCAACTTTCTCCACCCCCACAATTTTCTTGAACACCTCTCATGCTGGGTTTTTCGAATATGAAATATATATTTCGAAATGCATGATAGGTGTCATAATAAAATTATAGGAGGGCGCAAAAAGAAACACTCCAAAGCCTTGTGCAAATCAAACACAAACAAGGATTGTAAAACAAAATAAAGAGGGAGCCTTGTGCAAATCAAACACAAACAAGGATTGTAAAACAAAATAAAGAGGGTTACTCCCTGTCTCACTCCACTTTTTTGTCTCACTCCACTTTTTGCTCCCTGTGCTACCACATTTTTTTAAAATTCTAAAACTATCTTTTATATTGTAAAATATCCTACACCTCCACTTCTGTGTTCAACGGATGTCAACCTCCGTTGAAGAAAAAATTAATAGATGTGCCACATCTGTTGAGTTTCTTTTTTTTTTTTTTTTT